TTTCCACTCTGATAATCTTGAAACAGCCCCTAGGGCCTCTGAAAACCATTGGACAGAAACAATTGATGGAACTTCTAAACCACTCGTGGGTTTATCCAAAAGGAAGAACAAATAGAAATTTATGCAGCATGTGCTTGGAAATGTTGCTGCCAATAAGAACCGTAGAAGAGGGAGAAGGAAAAAGAGTGGAAAAGCTGCAACATTCCGTTTAGCTACAGCAGCTATTTCACTTTCAATTTCTTCAGATGCCATTGCTAATTGGAATCGAATTATTCTTAATGAAGGGCAATGTGGGAAATTGGGAAACTCCTTCGTTTGAAAAGTAAAGAAAATGATGATGAGGTTGTTAGTAAGTTCAAAGAACTCCATGATCAGAATGAGCTCCAGGTCAATGGAGCAATGGGTGAGAGGATTTAATTCTTGGCACACAGATATTATCAATGGATTTATAATACTATTTCTGATGAAGATTATCTCTTGGAATATAAGGGGTTTAGGGAAAATGGAGAAGAGAAGAGAAGTCAAAAACCTCATCTCTCAAAGAAAAATTGACATCCTGTTCCTCCAAGAAACAAAGATAGAAGTTATCAATAGCCAACTCATTCACTCAATATGGCCATACAATGATCTGGGCTTTGTAGCAGTAAAAGCCGGGGGATCCTCGGGAGGTATCATTTGCATCTGAGACAAGTCATTATTCTCAGTTTGTGAGTGCATTCAGAGTCCAAATTTCATTATTCTAAAAGGTACGATTTCCCCGAATTTTGATTGCATTTTGATTAATGTTTATGCCCCAAATGAAGCCAGTAAAAGGAAAATTCTGTGGGATGAATTACTGAGTCTCAAAACTAGGTATGATCTACCATGGTGCATTGGGGGTGACTTTAATGAAATTATTAGAATTGGGGAAAGAAAAGGTTGTCTATCACTCTCTACTAGTATGAAACGATTCAGTGAGATGGTGGACGATCTAGAGCTAAGAGATTTACCTCTATAGGGAAGATCTTTCACTTGGTCAAACAACCAAGAGGCTGATAGATGGAGCAAAATAGACAAGTTTCTCCTACATTCACAATGGTTGGATAGATTTGGCTTCAAGCAATGGGGTCTTCAAAGAATACTATCTAACCATTGTCCAATTCTTCTCATGGTAGATGATAGAGATTGGGGGCCAAAGCTGTTCAGATTCCTCAATGCTTGGCTCTCTCATCCAAAATTCCTAAATGTAGTGAAAGACGCCTGTGTGAGAATATATGTATATACGGCAATACATGTATATATGGCATACTTGTGTATCTTAGAAATTAGGCAAATTAGGCAAGATTGTGGTGATGTAAATAGGAATGAATTTGTATTTCCTTTTTTTTAGTCATAGGTTAGGGTTATATAAACTGATGACTTCTTTGTATATGATATCAATTGAATACAAGTTATTATCTTCAGAAACTTACATGGTATCAGAGTCGTGTCCAAAACCCTAGCCATCAACCTCAGAAATTGCGATCGTCATCAACAGAAGTCGCACTTGGGCTCGTTATCAACAGAAGTCATAATCGTTGTGCGACCTGAGATTTCACATCGCCATCGTCACTCCTTCACTCTGTCTGCTTCATCGTGACTATCACAATCTAACTCTGACCATCATCGGCCTCGCGATTCTTGTTTCTGGTTCGCGATTGCTGTTGTACTCTGTCTCAGACGAGTCGCGAACCACCTCTGGCCCTCATCTTCTGGCTCAGCTTCCGATCTGGTTCTTAGCTTTGGTGGTATTCTTTCTAAGTATTCTTGGTTTTTTGGTTATTTTACTCTGACCCCGACATTTTCTAGTATTTACAATCTGACCCTTTCTAAGTTCTCATCATGTCTGAAGACAAAAGTCATGCCATTAGTTGCCGCCCAACTGGTTCCAATTACACATATTGGGCCAGTGTTATGAAAAATTTTCTTGTTGGTTGTAAAAGGTGGGGTTATGTTTTTGGTTCAGTTCCTCGTCTATCTGATTCTAAGAAAGAGGGATGTGAGGCTGTATGTGATGCTTGGGATTCTGATAATGCCCAGATTCTGACTTGGTTCCACAATTCTGTGGAAGATCACATTGGCATGATGTTCTCTAAATATTCCACTGCAAAGGAGGTGTGGGCGCATTTACTCAATGTCTATCAACAGTCTAACTTTGCCAAATGCTATGAATTGGAAACCGCTCGTCAAAGTGCTCGTCAGCAGGATAAGTCTATTCAGGACTTTTATGCTGAGATGACTGGTCTCTGAGATCAGTTTGCTTTGATGGAGCCTTTTAGCATCAAGGTGATAGATGATTATCTACGATTTCGGAAAGATGGTCATCTGGTTCAGTTTCTGACGGCTCTCTCCTCTCAGTATGAGGCTATTCGTGGTGGCATCCTTCATCGGTCTCCTCTTACCTCTGTGGATGCTATTGTTCGTGAGCTCCTCTCCAAGAAAAACCATCTCAAGACGGCCAGTCAGACTTTGTCACCATCTGTCTTCTTGGCTCCTACTCAACCTCCTTTGCTGTCGAACCCCCCTCATTAGCTTCAGGCCACTGCAAAGCCCAAGAAGGGGCCACTAGCCTCTGATGAGTGTGGTTTTTGCCATCAGAAGGGCCATTGAAAGTATAACTGTCCCAAGAAGGGCCGTCAGCCTTCTTAGCCTTCTCAGCCACAGTTCCGAGGTCCTGCTCCGAGTACGTTTCGCCCTTCTACTGCTTACAGTGAATCTACTCCAGCTTCTGATCCTGAGTTGGCTTCCTTGAGTGCCCAGATTGCCCAGCTTCGGCAGCTCTGGTCCATCTCTCAGTCATCTTTATCTACCTCGGCTCATACCTCTCTTCCTTCAGGTTTGCTTGGATCCTCTTCAGGTATTCCTTCATCTGTCTAGCTGTTTGATTCTGGTGCCTCTCATCATATGACTCCTCACCTTTCGTCACTCCAAAACTATACCCCTCCTCCATTTCCTATTACTATTAATACTACTAATGGGTCTAGTATGTCTATCGTATCTATTGGGTCTGTCTTTTCCTCTGTCATATTCGCTGTTACTATTCCCTCTGTTCTTTATGTTCTTCAACTATCTGTTAGCTTACTTTCTATCAGTCAGCTTGATGCTTCTGGTTTTGATGTTATATTTTCTTCTTTTGTCTGTTGTGTGCAGGATCGGGTGTCCAAGAAACAGATTGGGACCGGTCGTAGAGTTGGAGATCTTTATGTGGTGGAAAGCATGTATCTTCCTCTATCTACCTCCCCTGTTGCACTTTCATTTTTTCAGTTAGATTCCCAATCGGGTCAGTTTTATTTATGGCATTCTCGCTTAGGTCATTTATCTATTGACCGTTTGCTGTCTTTAACTCAGTCAAGATTGTTAGGTAAAGTTTCTCCTAGTCAAATTAACGAGTGTTAAGGATGTAAACTTGCTAAAATGACAACTTTACCTTTTAATAACAATACTTTTATTTCTGTTTCTCTTTTTTCTCTTGTACATACTGATGTCTGGGGACCTTCTCCTGTTCTCACTAAAGAGGGTTCTGCGTACTATGTATCCTTTGTTAATGATTATACTCGCTATACCTGGGTTTATCTTATGACTCATAAATCTGACTTCTACCAGATATATCGTACCTTTCAATCGATGATCACCACATAGTTTAGAGCCACAATTAAAATACTTCGGTCTGACTTAGGTAGGGAATACTTTAAAACTGAATGCTGTGAGTATTTGGCTACATTAGGCACCATTCACCAAACCTCTTGTACTGATACCCCTGCCCAAAATGGCTGTGTTGAGCGTAAACACCGTCATCTCCTTCAGATAGCTCGATCTCTTCTTCTCTCTGCCTCTGTTCCAGTACCATTCTGGGGTGAGGCCGTTCTTACCGCTGCTTACCTCTTTAATCACATGCCGACTCCCCTACTCTCCGGTCAATCCCCTTATCAGGCTCTGTATTCCGAACCTCCAAATTATTTCCTCCTATGTGTCTTTGGGTCTGCTTGTTTTGTCCTCATTCCTCGTAAAGATAGGACTAAACTCAGTGCCAGGTTTGTCTTGTGTGTCTTTTTGGGTTACAGTCTTACTCCAAAAGGCTACTACTGTTACGACCCTGTCTCTCTTTGCCTTTATGTCTCTTGTCATGTTGCCTTTCTCGAACGTCTGTCTTACTTTCAGTTTCCTCCCCTCACTGCTCTCGTTTCCAAAGAGGATTTGGTTCACATTGACCCATTTCCTTCTGAGGTCCCATTTGATGAATACATCTCTACTATTCTTTCTGAGGCCATTCTTATTTCTTCATCTGCGTCACCCATGGCTCCTACTGCTCCTTTGGCTTCTTCTTCCCCTCCGTTGTTGGTCTATTCCCGTCGTAAGACTCCCTGCTCCTTCTATTTCTAACGACTCTGATCCTGCTGCACACCGCTATCCTACTCGTGAGCGTCGTCCTCCAAACAGGTTAGGTTGGTCTAATACATATTTTTCTGCTTCATATCGTACTTTTTTGTCTATTATTCATTCTTTTTCAGAACCTTAGTCTTACACGGAGGCTCGTCAAGATCCTAATTGGGTTCACGCTATGGAGGATGAGTTGTTTGCCTTACACAAGACTAACACCTGGGAGTTGGTTCCCTTGCCTGTTGGCAAGAATCTGGTTGGTTACAAATGGGTCTATAAAGTCAAGACTTATTTTGATGGTTCTCTCGAGCGTTACAAAGCTTGATTGGTTGCCAACGGTTTCTCGCAGGAGTATGGTATCGATTATGAGGAGACATTTGCCCCTGTTGCCAAGATGACTACTGTTCGTACCTTGATTTCTGTTGCTATTCGCCATTGGCCTCTCTATCAAATGGACATTAAGAATGCCTTTTTTAACGGTTATCTCACTGAGGAGGTCTACATACGTCTTTCCCCTGGTCTTCTCCACTCCTCTGGGTAGGTTTGTCGTCTTCGGCGTGCTCTGTATGGTTTGAAGCAGTCTCCTTGTGCTTGGTATGATCGTTTTCAAACTACCATTACTGAGCTTGGGTTTCATCCTTCTGCTTCTGACTCTGCTTTGTTTTTGAGATATACCTCGGCTGGTTTTGTTGCTCTCCTACTCTATGTGGATGATATGATCATCACTGGCCCTGACTCTTCTGCTATCTCTGAGGTCAAGCAACATCTCTTTCGCACCTTCGAAATGAAGAATCTGGGTCCATTGTAGTATTTTCTTAATATTGAGGTTGCTGCTTCTCCAAAGGGCTATTTTCTGTCTCAGGCCAAGTACGCTAATAAAGTTATTCACTGTGTTGGTCTTACTGATACTAAGGTTTCTGATACACCAATTGAGCTTAATGTGAAGCTCAACTCTACTGATGGTGTCCCTCTAGATGATCCCACGGTCTATCGTGAGCTGGTGGGTTGTTTAGTTTATTTGACTGTCACCCGCCCTGATCTTGCTTATGTTGTTCATGTGGTTAGTTAGTTCGTTTCTGCTCCTCGCTCTACCCATTGGGCTGCTTTGGTTCGCATTCTTCACTATCTCCGGGGTACCATCTTGCAGGGCTTGCTGTTGTCATCTATTTTCTCTTTAGACATGGTGGCCTATGCTGATTCTGATTGGGCAAGTGATGTTACTAATCACAAGTTCACCTCTGGTTTCTGTTTGTTTCTTGGCAATTCCTTGATCTCTTGAAAAAGTAAGAAACAAACTGTTGTTGCTCGCTCTACTGCCAAAGCTGAGTACCGTGTTATGGCTTTTGCTACTGCTGAGTTTGTTTAGCTTCATTGTCTTCTCTCTGATTTGGGTGTACCTCAGTCTTCTCCAACCTCTCTCTATTGTGACAACCGCGGTACTATTTAGATTGCCCACAACACGGTCTTCCATGAACGGACCAAACACATTGAGATTGATTGTCACTTTGTCCTCCAGCATCTACAGTCTAGCTCTATCTTGCTTCCTTTCATCTCCTCAGTTTTGCAACTTGCGGACTTCTTCACCAAGACTCACACTATCGCTCGGTTTTAGTTTCTTCTTGGCAAACTCTCCGTGTTTTCCGCTAAAACACCATGAGTTTGAGTGGGGTGTGAGAATATATGTATATATGGCAATATATGTATATATGGTATACTTGTGTATTTTAGGAATTAGGCAAATTAGGCAAGATTGTGGTGATGTAAATAAGAATGAATCTGTATTTCCTTTTTTTAAGTCGTAGGTTAGGGCTATATAAACTGATGACTTCTTTGTATATGATATAAATTGAATGCAAGTTATTATCTTCAGAAACTTACAGCCTGGAGTTCGAGCATGGTTTTTGGATGGGCTGGCCACAGAATCTTCATGAAACTCAAGGAAGTAAAATCAGCTCTTAAGCAATGGAATCAAGTTGAATTCAGCAATTTGAATAAAAAATTAATTTCCATCAAAAACCAACTGCACACATTGGATCTCCTTCAAGAGAATCGTTTTTTATCTGAGGAGGAGTCTACCAACAGGAGGAAACTGAAATTTGACTTCTGGAAAATCTCACGGCTGATTGAGAGCATTTGGCTACAAAAATCAAGGCAGTTTTGGTTCAAGGATGGGGATAAAAACACTAAATACTTCCATATGGTGGCAAGCACTAGGCAGAGCAAAAATTCACTAGGAAACCTATTCATCAATGGAGAAAATGTAGAGGATTCGGAGCAGATAAAAAGTGGAGTCAAGTCTCATTTTCAAAATTTTTTCTTAGAAAAATGGCCTTCAAGACCCACATTCTCAAGATCTTTTGAGCAGTCTCTTTCAAGTATGAATGCAACCTTGTTAGGGCAACCATTTTCAGAAACTGAGATTTGGGATGCCATAAATCACTGTGACGGAAGTAAGGCTACAGGTCCAAATTCATCAAAAAAATGTTGGGCTTTCATCAAGGCCGATATTGTCTCTTTCCCAGTGAGTTTCATCAAAATAGTAGGATCAAAAAAGGTCTGAATTCTACCTTCTTAACCTTGATTCCAAAAATTCTGAATCCATCTTCTTTATCTGACTACAGGCCCATCAATTTGATAGGCTGTATTTATAAGATTCTAGCAAAAATTTTATCAAGAAGATTGAAATCTGTCTTACCCAAATTGATAAATAAAACTCAATCAGCTTTTGTAAAAGGAAGGAAAATCTTAGATGGCATTCTCATAGCCAATGAAGTCGTTGATTTATGGAAACACAATTCTACAAGAGGGCTCCTTCTCAAATTGGATTTTTAGAAGGCTTTCGATAGTGTCAATTGGAACTTTCTTCTCCATTTGCTTCACAAATTTGGTTTTGGTGATAAATGGATATCATGGATTAAAGAATGTGTTTCTCCTCCTCATATATCAATATTGGTCAATGGCTCCCCTTCTCAAGAATTTTCTCCACAGAGAGGATTAAGACAAGGTGACCCTCTTTCCCCCTTTCTCTTTAATCTTGTGGTTGAAGGACTAAATATTCTCACCCAAAGGGCTAAATGCCTCAATCTTATCAAGGGTGTGGATATAAGTGGCTCAGGGCTAAACCTATCTCATCTGTAATTTGCAGATGATACCCTCATGTTTTGCAATCCAGACTGGGATAAGATAACAAACCTTAAAAGAATTTTCAGTTGCTTTGAGTTAATCTCTGGGTTGAAGATTAACTACCAGAAGTCTGTAATTTGTGTCGTCAGGATAAACAAGGTATTCACATCACAAGTAGCTGAATTTTTCAATTGCAAGATGAAAATTCTACCAATCAATTATCTAGGAATGCCTCTTGGGGCCAACCCAAAAAGAGTATCTACCTGGGAGCCTATTATAGACAAAGTGAAGAAAAGATTAGCATCATGGAAAAGGAGATACCTTTCTCTCAGAGGTAGAATTACTTTGATCAAATCTGTACTATCTTCTCTCCCACTTTACTATATGTCCATTTTCAAAATGCCTTCCAAAGTGGCAAACTTAATTGATAAATATCAGAGATCTTTTTTATGGGGGGATAGTGATAACAAAAGGAAATTACATCTTCTCAACTGGAAGACGTCCTCTGTTAGCAAACATTTTGGTGGTTTGGGCTTCAGAAAGATTAAGGAAGCCAATGATACTCTTCTATGCAAATGGTGGTGGAGATTTGCCACTGAAAAAAGTTCATTGTGGAGGAAAGTTTTATGTGCCAAAAATAATGTAAATGGAGATTGTTGGTTCCCAAATGGCTCAAGCTTTAGACTCTCATCCACAATGTGGAAAAGTATTTCATCCATGGAAAGGTATGGCTCTAAAGCAATTGCATTATTTTTGGAAAATATTCAGTTCAAGCTAGGTGATGGTAAAATAATCAAATTTTGGTTTGATGCGTGGGTCTCTTGTACTCCTTTGTCCAACCTCTATCCAAGACTCTTCTCTTTAGCTTCAAATAAAGATTCTTGTGTTCACCAATACTTGCACTCGGCTGTGAATAATCAATCTCATTGGAATATCAATTACAGGAGAAGTCTGAGAGTTTGGGAAGATGAATTGCACCTTGAGCTGATCAGCAGATTGCCGCAACCAATTAGCTTTAGTAATAATTGCGAGGACACTTTGTTATGGGCTCCTATACCATCCGGTTCATTCATAGTTAAGTCTCTTTATGAGATCTTTGAAAATTCTCTTAGATTAACTCCCTTTCCTATTATGAAAATGTGGAAATCTTTAGCTCCTCCCAAAATCAAAACTTTTGGTTAGCTTGTTTGGTGGAATCGGATTGCCTCTTCGGATCTTCTTGCCCGAAGGTCTATTATTCCAGCGGTTAATCATTGTGCATTCTGTGGTTTGGATAATGGAAATGCATCTCACCTGCCCTTGCTTTGCAATCATGCTTGGAAGGTTTGGTCTGAAATTATGTATTGGTGGGGCTCTCAGTGGGTATCTCCTTGCTCTTTACAAGACTTGCTTTTATGGTGGTATGGTCAAAAAACCAAAAATCTGGGTTCTCTCATCTGGGAAGCAATTCCATTAGCTGTGCTTTGGAGCCTATGGATTGCAAGAAATGACAAGATATTTAACTCTAAAGCTCTTATTTGGGAAAATACTGTGGAAAGCATCAAAATCAAAGTGGCCTCTTGGGTGAAGTTTTCTAGTCATTTGCCTGAATTTGCTATCCATGATTTTCTATACTGTCCGGATGGGTTGAAGGGTCATAAATTGAAGGCTCTGGATGGTTGATAGGTTTTGTAGTTTTTATTATTTTTCTTTTATTTCAGTTTGGTTGTACACTCTCCAACCTCTTGTATTGGTCTTGGCTTGCATATGATTGGGCTCAATTATAGGTGCCAACATAGTTGGGATGTATTCTTGAGCTATGATGCAATTCAGTCAAGTCCCTCCTTTCTTTTCTCATTATTAATAAAACCTTTTCTTTGCTGATCAAAAGAAAAAAACAAAATTCTCTAACTATGTATTTGAAACTCTATACAATGGTGCAACCTTGTTTATCCGTCAAAATGCGTTTCTTTTCCTGACCCTAACATTTTCCATGTTCTATTGGAATAGATGGTGCATTAAGTTGTCACTTATAGATGTCAACTTTGTAATTTATATTGTTGTTATGTAATGCAACATTGTTCTGATTTTGTGTTTACTTTTATTCATGATATTTTATATATATATTTGGTTGGTGGGGGTAAATTTATATGAATGGACTCATAGAGTCTGCAAATTTGAAAGGACAAACCTTTAATTTCATTCCTCTTTGAGCCAGTGGGGCTGTAGTGTCTTTACTAATGGTGGTCTGCTCCAGAAATGAACTGACCTATCCATTTAAAAAGAAAAGAAGATGACCATTTTTTTTTAATTTGATTTTGGACTGAGGAAATTAATGCAATAGTGATCTTGACATTCACCTGATACATTAGTAAATGCATTTGTTTGCATTGTTTTGTATAACTTGTTGTGAATGAAAGGATATTTTGGTAATTTTGTTTAAATGTGCAACATTTTCCCTCTATTTGGTTGATTAATAAATTTTCTTACTCTAAATTTATAATATTGGTGCTGTGATGAATGTGGATTTTTAAGAGATGAACATTGAGAGGGTAATTTATACTTATAAATTGGGCCGAGCTGGGTAATGGGCCGTTATGGGCCACATTGCAAAGGGCTGAGTAAAATGGCCATGAAGTCACTCCGACTCAAGAAAGGTATAAAAGTTACTCCGGCTCAAGAGAGGTACTCCGGCCCAAGAGAGGTGTAAAGTTACTCCGGTCTACGAGAGACCTGAAGTTACTCCGGTCCCGAAGAGCTTATGGTAAGTTTGGTCGTCACTCACAAAGTTATCCCGGTTTGTACCGGAGTATTGGTTATTCCGGTCTAAACATACCCTGGTTAGCATTAAGAAGAGCCGAGGTAAGAGCAGTAAATGGAAGAGCAGAGCTAATGTTATCTCGGTCCAGTCTGCGGCTTAGCATAACCATGCTTACCTCGGTCATGTTAAAGTCTGACCATGGTAGAACCATCTCACTTGGTTTATGCAGTGAGGGGGGTGTTGAAGGATAGGTATTATCTTTCAGGAGTATGAATCCTAGGAGGACTCTACATGGAGGAGTACAAGTCCTATTAGGATTGTGCCACGCGGAACCTATAAAAGCTTACAACATCACCTATGGAGAGGTAACACGCGACTTTGATACACAGAGCTTTTTGTCTTTGTCTATTTTGCTGACTTAGGCATCGGAGAGGTATCCGGCGCACACCCGCCGGCTAGCTCACGTTTGTGTTTTCAGGGAGAAAAGCGACGACGTTTGGAGGAGTGCAGACTTAATCAACAGGATTATACGAGAAGGTTTATTTCTTTCCCGTACAAACATCATTAATAAGGATATCTATTAGTATAATGAGAAACAACATTCTTTTTCATTTTAGGGCCCTGCTCAAGCTCAGAATCTGAGGGATTCTCTTGTAGAAGCAAAATCAGACATTGTGGTCAAGGTGATGTGTGTATTACTTTTGATGTTATATTTATTTTTACGACGTTTGGAGGAGCGTAGACTTGATCAACAGGATTATACGAGAAGGTTTATTTCTTTCCCGTACAATTGGCGCCGTCTGTGGGAATAATAGATAGAACAAAACCTCTTGATCAAGTTTCCTTCGCTAGTTGGATGGCGTACAACGAAGATTTACCACAGTCCGCCATTGATGGACAAACACCAGAGGGGGGTGCAAGACGCGAAGGCCTACCTTCTATCCCTCCCATGGCGGACTTGGAGCCACAGCGACAAAATCCTAAGAGGGATACAAGGGGGAGGAGGCAGACTAACAGCCCCCGTCACTCTCGTTCACGAAGTCCTGACAGAAAAAGGCAGAGGATTGATCCTTAAGCTCTGGAGGACCGCGTAAAGGAGCAAGATGAATTAATAAGGAAGATGGCGGCAGACATGGAGGCCATGAAGCGCCAGATGAAGAGAAAAGAAGTGGCGACAGGAGAGGGGTGCAAAAGCAAGACGCCCCCTCGCCGCTCAAAAGACCGTGGAAGGCATTCCACACCATCACAAGCAGAAAGTAGAAGCCTCAGGACAAGCGATACTCAATCCAGAACCTCCAGTACTCGTTTCTCCAGGGCTGAGAGAATGAGATCATTGAGGTCTTACACAGAGGGAAGTACCTATCGGCCCTCACACACGCACCAAACATTATCCAGGCAAACGGAGTTACCCAGATCGTCCAACTTACGGACTGTGCTTGAAGAAAGGGCGCGACAGAAGGAGGATACTAGGGCGTGCAACCCTCGCAGGGTATCAGCCCTTCAGCGGTTGGCTCCTTGAACGCATGGAAGCGTCGAGGTCAGAATGCTGTTACCACGCCCTGCCTACGAACCAACGGACAAAGCATTAGCAAGGCTGCAGACCTCACCGTTTGTTCCGGTAATTGAAAACGCGCCCCTACCTTCAGGCTTCCTTCAGTCCAAATTCACCACGTACGAGGGGAAGACGGACCCCTACATACACCTAAGCCACTTCCGCCAGGTTATGGCAGTATATCGGCGAAACGAGGCTTTGATGTGCATCCTCTTCCCGTCAAGCCTTGGTGACCTAGGCTTGACTTGGTTCGAAAAACTTCAGAAAGGCAGCATAGCCTCCTGGGCACAATTGGCGGAGGCGTTCGTCACAAGGTTTAGAACGAATACCAAAACCCCGGTGGAAATAAACCAGTTACTCTCCATCAACATGGGCGAAAAGGAGATCCTACAATAGTCGTTACTGGGAGACATTCAACCAGATTGGGGACTGCCCCACCAATCTCACCATTGCACAATATAAAAGAGGCCTTCCAGTCGGAAACAGACAAAGGGACTCAATCACCATGACACCGCCCCTTACCATGGAGGCCTTGATGGAAAAAGTGCATCAGCACATCAGGGTAGAAGAGGATGGCGCCCGTGCCAAAACAAAATCTGGCACGACCGCAGTACCAGATAAGAAGACCACAGCAAAGATCAACGCGGTAGAACGTCCGAACAAAAACGGACGAGGCAGGCGAGACAACGGAGAGGACCAGGATAAAAGATGGTTGAGAGTCCGCACTGCCATAACCACGGTATTCAAGAAACCGATCTACTGGATTCTGAGCGAAATACGCGATGAACCTTTTGTCAGATGGCCAACTAAGCTAGGAGAAGCACAGAAAGACTACGATGAAAGGTCACAATGCACCTTCTAGAAAGAAAAGGGGCACCGCACTGAAAATTGTATGCCATTGAGACAGCATCTGGAGGAGTTGGTGGCAGCCGGTCACTTGGATAAATACATTGAAGGAGGGATGCAACCAGCCCCCCAGGACCACAATAACCCCAATGGAATGCCAATTGACACCCCACCTCAAGGTGTGATCAATGTGATACATGGAGTATTCGAACCTAAGTGTGTATGCGAGCTCAGAGGGTCGATCAAAAAGGCTGAACACTTAAGGGAGGTACTAAGTGCCAAACCTGCCATCAAAAAGGAGAGAACAGAGGCCACGAATGTCATGTCTTTTTCAGACAAGGACTTGGAAAGAATATATTGCCCCCACAACGATGCACTGGTCGTCACCCTCCGCATCAAGGATTATGACGTCAAACGAATTCTGATAGACCAAGGTAGGTCGTATGAGATAATGTACTACGACACCTTCAAACAACTGAAATTGGAGGACAAAGACCTGGCACCAGCTGTATCCCCCCTGATCGAATTCAACTCAATGCTAGAATGGCCTGTCGGCAAAATTATCCTGCCAGTCAGGGCAGGGAGTGTGACAAAACAAGTGGAATTTTGGGTGTTGAAGGTCCCTTCCACTTACAACATAATCTTGGGAAAAACATGGCTCCATGCCATGAAATCAGTAGCATCATCCTACCATCAAGTAATGCAGTTCCCCAACGATGCCGGGGTAATTGAAGAGGTCTTTGGAGACCAGATTATGTCCAAGCAATGCTTTGTCACGGCTAATGGCAGTCGCGCTGCCAAGGGATATGTACATTCGGTGGAAGAACCTGAGAGCAATGAACTATTCGCAGATGTCGGCAAAGCAGCTGATCAAAAAGCGGTGGAAGACTTGGTAGAGATAAGAATAGATGAAAAGAACCCGAATAAGTTCTTTTTGCTCGGTTCGTCGTTGTCCAGCACTGAAAGATTAGAGGTCTTGAAATTCTTGACCTCTAACATCGAAGTATTCGCCTGGACACCCTACGACATGCCAAGCATTGATCCAAACTTCATCTGTCACCAACTCAATGTCTACCCATCCGCCAGACCAATCATTCAGCGCACTCGCAGATCGGCACTCCACCACGCTAAAATAGTGGCAGAAGAAGTGGGAAACCTACTGGAGGCAGGAGCAATCAGAGAGATGCACTATCCCAGATGGATTTCTAACACAGTCGTAGTGCCAAAGAAGAATGGCAAATGGCGTGTCTGCGTCGATTATAAGACAGTCAACAAAGCATGCCCAAAGGACAGCTTCCCCCTACCACGGATAGATCAACTGGTAGACCTAACGGCGGGGCACAACCGACTTAGCTTTCTTGATGCATACAGAGGCTACAATCAGATTGCCATGTACGAACCAGACCAGGAGGTCACGTCTTTTATCACTCCAAGAGGACTATATTGCTATAAGGTCATGCCCTTTGGCCTAAAGAACGCAGAGGCAACATTCCAGAGAATGATCACCAAAATGTTTGAACCGTTGTTAGGCAGAACAATGGAAGCTTACATCGATGATATGGTGGTCAAAAGCAAAGATAAGAATGACCATCTAAGGGACTTAGGTGAGATGTTCCAGATTCTGAAGAGGCACAAGTTGCGCCTTAATGCATCTAAGTGCGCGTTCGGTGTAGGATCTGGCAAATTCCTGGGCTTCCTGGTGACCAATCGGGGTATAGAAGCAGACCCCTCCCAGATCAAAGCTATTCAGGATCTGGAGAGACCTAACTTAGTAAAAGAAGTACAGCATCTCACCGATATGGCAGCTGCACTCAACCGATTTATTAGCCGGTCGTTAGACAAATTACGACCATTTTTTCAAGCATTAAAAACCAAGTTCGAGTGGGACGAAGAATGCGACCGCGCTCTGGAAAGCTTAAAAGAATACATGTCTTCTCCACCACTGCTGGTCACCCCAATACCTGGAGAAGAACTCTTCCTGTACCTGGCGGTCTCTCAGTACGCAATTAGCGCAGTGTTAGTCCTTGCGGAAGGAATCCAACATCTGCCCATCTATTATGTCAGCAAGACATTGCTGGGTGCCGAAACAAGGTATTTGCCACTAGAAAAGCTGGCCTTAGCCTTAATGATGGCATCAAGGAAGTTGTCGCACTACTTTCACGCCTACACCATAGTTGTCCTCACATCTTTCCCATTAAAAGTTCTGTTTGAAAGAGCGAACTTTTCTTGAAGAATCTTGAAGTGGGTAGTAGAGTTGGGACAATTCGACACCAAGTTCTAACCCAGAACCACGATAAAGGCCCAAGCTTTGGCAGAATTTGTCACAGAATTTATCCCAGGAAGTCATCATATCTACCCAGTCGATCTGACTGATACAA